TGCCTCCGACTTAATGAACTGTAAATTCCAGCTTAATGAGTTTTATGCTGAGGAGAATAATTAATGTAATTAGTACTGATATGAAAATGATGGCACTTGAGCCTGGATGAGGAAGGGGAGGCGAGGCTGGGGGTGGGAGGAAGCTTGGAGGAAGAGTTCGTTCCCTCTGTGGTGCTGTTCTGCCAGAGGAGCAGGGCTGGATGCATTCTTGGCAGCCTTTAAAACCTCACCTCCCATCTGCCATAAAGGGGAAGAAAATAGAGCATGACAGTAGAGGAAATAAAAAAAAAAATTGGGAAAAAAAAAAAAAAGTGCTCAGCCTGCCCTGTTAGCAGCAGGGATGTGAAATCTTCAGTGTGAAATCTTCACTGCAGCCCTTTTCCTGTGCTGGCCTTGAATTTGCAGCTCCTCCTTGAATTTGAACATCCTCCACCCTCCATGGGGCCTTTTTTTTTTTTTTTTTAGTTCTAGGAGAAAATATCTTTATAAAGGTAATTAGATGGTAAAACAACAGCTTTTCACCTTACACTACGTAAGTATCAATTTACTTATCCTATGTAAGTGTTTTGATAGGTTTGATATATTTAGTGCAGTCCAAGAGCTGTATTTTAGTTTTATACATATGAATAGATGCATAAATTTCTACACAACCAGAAAATGGCCCAGCAGGAAGTTTTCTGTTTTGACTCTGGCACTGATCAGATATTCAGCACTGGAGAACGGGACCACAAAACTCAGCGCTGACCCTGCCAGGAAATAAAAAAGGAGATGCAATGGATGAGTTTTGCTGTTGGAGTGGGCAGCTGTCACCTTTGCAAGGTGTTTCTGATGCCACGCTGGGTGTTTGTGTGACTTTTCAGCTCCAGATGGGCATTGGTGGCAGTCTGTGGGCAAATGTTTTAAAAACTGCCATGCAGGAGGTAAATCCAGATCCTTTTCCCCTTCCTGGGAAGTAAACACAGTCCTGGGGGGAGATGCCAGGATCCAGAAATGCAGGATAAACCTGCCTGTGTGCAGAATGAGGAGAGCATTGCCAGCACTCTGCTCCCACCATCCTGGGTGATATCCTGGCCCTGAGGAGAATTTTGCCTCTCCTTGATATTTCTGAGAAGCAGCCCAGAGAAACTGTGGAGTTCCCAGCAGAATTGTGTCAGCCCCTCTCCCACAACCCAACAAACCCTTCCCAGTCATGCCCAGCTTTGGCTGCTGCAGCTGCAGGTGCATTCAGACCCTCCATGAACCCATCCCTCCATTTAGCCCCAAATCTGGGGCTAAAGTATTCCAAAGGGCCTTTCCCTTTCTCCATCCCTGTGCAGTGCAGCTTTGCTGGGAAAAAATATCCTGGGGCTTTTTCATTCTCAGAGTTAGTGCTAAAAAAAAAAAAAAATGCCACCAATAAAGGGTTTATTGATCAGTTGTGTCTGATAGGGAACCTCCTGAGGGAGTTCTGAGTGTTCAGCTGGGCTGGGCTCACACCCATTCCCCCAGCATGCAGGCTCAGTGCCTCCCTGCACCAGGAACTCAGCGTGGCATGAGAGGTGGGCTGGGGAGGAGGAGGAGGAGGAACCCCCCTTTTGAACCCCCCTTTTCCTTCCCTAAATAGCTGCTGGTCCCAGGGCTGGCTGTTTGTGACTGGATCTGTCCCAGCCACGGGCAGGGGGAGGCTGGGAGGATCCCCAGACAAAGTGAAGAGAGACTGGCACCTCTGGAGGACCCAGGACTGGCACCTCTGGAGCACCTGGGACTGGCATCACTGGAGCACCTGGGACTGGAATCTCTGGATCACCCCAAGACTGGCACCTCTGGAGCACCCTGAGACTGGAATCTCTGGAGCACCCCAGGACTGGCATCTCTAGAGCACCTGGGACTGGAATTTATGGAGTCCCCCAAGGCTGGCATCTCTGGAGCACCCTGAGACTGGAATCTCTGGAGCACCCAGGACTGGCATCTCTGGAGCCTCCCAAGACTGGAATCTCTGGAGCAACCAGGACTGGCATCTCTGGAGCCTCCCAAGACTGGAATCTCTGGAGTACCCAGGACTGGCATCTCTGGAGCCTCCCAAGACTGGAATCTCTGGAGCACCTGAGACTGGCATCTCTGGAGCACCTGGGACTGGCATCTCTGGAGCCTCCCAAGACTGGAATCTCTGGAGCACCCTCATTGCTCTGGGGGCAAAGCCAGGGCAGGGAAGTGCAGCAGGTCACTGAGCTCTGCTTACCTGTGGCTCCTGCGTGCCCTGTGCTGCAGGCAGGGAGGGATACAGCAGGAAATTTGGGTTATTCCAGTCCTGAGGAGCCTCTGGAGCAGGCAGGAACTCCTGGCAGAAGGCAGGAGTGCCCGTGGGTGCATTCTGGGGGTGCAGAGAAAGGGGTGAGGGATGTGGAGGACACAAGAAGGCAGCCCTGGGAGCAAGACAGACATCAAACACCCCCCACAGCCCCCACAGGCAGGACAGAAGTTGCTGTAACTCTTCAGCTCACTTTTATTTAAATTCTGTGATCAGTCTTTTCCATCTGCGAGAGCTCTGGTGTCAGTGCCACCAACACATGGAACAGAACCCGTGACATTTCACCCTGGTAACAGGAAGAGCAGCTCCATCTTGGAGGTCTTTCCAACCGAAATGCTTCTCTATCCTACAACACCAGTTCCTCCCAGCCCACTGGATCCCTCTCCACCAGTTTCCAGCTGCACTTGTTCAGTGACCCACGCCCAGCAGCGCTGCTGGATGGCTCAAGCTCCAGAGCAGGGATCTTTCCAAGTCGATTGGCACCGCGTCAGCAGCAGAACACCTCCCCCTGGCCCTGATTCCAGCTCCTGCAACTCCCCCCAGCCATGGGCAACCTTTTTGTGGAGCACAGTGAGGTTCAGCCCTGGCAGCAGGTGCAGGGGAATTTGGGAAGAGCCATGGGGCAAACGCTGTGTGACACCAGGGAAAGGGAGCCAGCCCCGAGTCAGAACCATTTCCAAGCACGCATTTGTAAAACCAAAACAGTGGACTCACTATCTCTTACTTCAGGGCTTTCCTTCAGGGTTTTCCCCCTTTTCCTAGGGCACAGAGGAATTTGGTGGCGTGTGGCAAGTCCCTCTTGCCATTTTTTGAGATCAACGCAGCTCTCCAGGAGAGGCAGAGAGAACCAAGGCATTCCTAGACTAAATACCTGCGCTGGCATAAGTCAAACTACTGCTTTGAGCTGAGGTTTCTCCTGCCTTTACCTTTTCAAGGAGGATTGAAATGCTTTTGCTTTGCTGCAAGCCCAGTGAAACCCTTTGTGGCAGACTTCTGTGAGCAGCTCACATTCAAAGCTGCACAAGGCAAGCAGAGTTTTTCTGTAACGCTGCAGTTTGTATCCCTGCCTTCCCCTTGCTCATCAAAGCATCATCTTTGTCCCAGACATGGGCAGCAGAGAAAACCACCTGCAACGTGTTCTCAGCCTCCTCTGGCAAGCAATCATTTTGTCTGGCTTCTTTCCTCTTGTGTCTGAAGACCTGAACATATTCCACTTCTCATTTAAATTCCTGGATCTGTCTGAAAGCACATCAGGTGAAGGCTCCAAATGAAACCACGGTACAGGCAGTGCTCTGCTATTCCAGGCATGCAGGTAGGGAAGCTTGGGATGGATTTTTCCTTGCTTTTTCCTCATGGTCAGTGGTGCTGGGTTGATTCCAGGACATCAGAGACCCGTGGGGCTTCCAGCACCTCCTCAGCTTTCCAAAGAGAGGGAGCAAAGGCAGATTTGGCAGATTCAGCGTGGGGTGCATGTGGTGGCTGTGCCTTCAGTTCAGAGCACTGCCAGTTTCCAGCTCTGTGGTAACCCAAGGTGTGTTGGGGAGAAAACCAGAGAGGAAAATGCATTTTTTGAATAGATACATGGAGCACTGGGGTCCTTTAGTGTGAGGCTGAATCCCCTGGAGACTGGCAGAGGAAATGTGACTACAGATGGTTCCAGAAAGGTTTGCATCAGTCAGGACTGGCAGGATGGGATTGGAAAGTTGTGTGGAGCTCTCTAAGGCTGTGTCCTGGTGATCCTCCCCTGATCCTCTGGGAATGAGGCTGTTCCATGCACCAGCACGTGGCAGAGCTGCTGCTGCCCGTTCCAGCTTGGCCAAAAAATGCATCAACAATTCCCCTTCATCCACTCCTCAGCCAGCCAGGCACCCCCAGGCCTCTCAGCTGCTGCACCCACTTGTCACTTAGTGGGAGGCTCCATCCCAGCAGGAAAAACCCCTCCAGGGACAGCAATCCCCCCAAAAAAACCTCGTCCTGCTCGAGCACAGAGTGGCAGCATGCACTGGGGAAGGGCTGGGGAGAGCTGGGGGTGCTTTTTGCCATTCAGAACCCCCGGGAGACCCATGCAGGTGGTGCCATCCCCCTCAGAGCTGTGCTGCCCGGCTGAGCGGGGTGTAAACCCCTGTGCCACATCCAGATGTGTCTGTCAGGCTGCAGGGAAGCAGAGTGACCCAGATGTGCTGCAGCAGGGGGGAGCAGGGACAGGCAAGACGGGGCTCGAGGGGACACAGCAGGGGCAGGGAACAAGCAGAGCTGCTGAGATCCAGCTGGACAAAAAGAAATGGGTGCAGGTGGCAGGGCAGGAGCTGGGCTGGGACACCTGTGTGGTCACAAGTCCCTGACAGGAGCTGGCATTTCGAGCAGCACTGACAGGTTTTGGGTGCCTGGGCAGCAGGGGAAGGGTGCAGTGCCCACCTCTCCCTCCCACATCCCTCAGCTCAGGCATCCTCACGTTTTTTCCAGAGGGATTTGTTGTCTGCAGAACGCCAATTTCCCTGAGGCAAAGCAAAGGAAATGCCCTCTGGCCACAAAGCTTTATCCCCTTGTTCAGAGCCATCCCAGCCATCGCCTCTTCCATGCCATGGGTGAAGCAGATGGGAGTTATCCCTGAAACCAAGCTCTGAGGCAGGATGCTCATTCCTTGTCCTCCCCTTCCTCTTCTTTGCTTTTATATACATTGAAGTGTATATCGATATTTATTTTTATTTTTCCTCTAATACAAGTGAACACAAATGTGATGTGGAGATAAATTCCCTTCTCTAAAACACTTTGTGGCCACAGGAATGTACACGTTTGGATTTACACACCCACACACATTCCAATATCAAAAAAAAAGGTGTAGTCCCAAAACTAAGATGCTTTTATAAAAGTTAAAAGGCCAAATTCCTGTATTGGCTTTTATCCTTCATTAAGAGCAAGGAGATTACCTGAAATCCTGATTTATTCTTCATATTCTGCCTGAGTTAATTTTAAAATTCCAATCAACAGATGTGAGGAAGAGAGGGGGGAAAAGCTCGTGGGGGGCCATGTTAGGCTTTGGAAGGAAAATTAGAGAGAATGTTTTCCTTTATAATTATTTTCTCCTTTGGGTTTCAGGTTATCAGACCTGGTATTTAAAGGATGCTTTCTCCAAACGTGTTGACTCCAAAATATGTCCTCTTTAAAAGAGTCAATCCAAGAGATTGGGAGTGGGAGCAGGAAGGGAAAAGGACAGGAACAAACCACCTAAACCAAGTCCTGATCTCTATTTTTGGGTTAGTTTTGAGCATCTTTTGTTATAAGCATCTTATGATTTGGTTCAGCAATCTTGGCTCTTCAGCTCTTCACAAACGAGGATTTGCTATCCTCACTTCTGAGGGGGAAAAGGAGCAGGGGGAAAATAAAAATTAAAAAAAAAAGAAATAAAAAGCCACAGGCTCAGCTTTGAGCACTGGCTGTGCTGTCCAACCTCACTGGGCTGGGAATAATCCACACCCGGCTGCTCCGGTGTGGAGAGTGCAGGAATCGACACAGGGGAAAAGCCACAGACACGGGATGGGTTGGGCACATCCCATCCACCACAGGGCAGCTGTCACCCACAGACACATGCACACACAGAGGCAGGAGGAGAAAAGAAAGATGCAGGTACTGGAGGGGACGTGGGAGGAGGCAGAGCGCTCCCTTGAGCGTTAGCAAGCCAGGCAGACACTGGGACTAATCATGGCAATCGCACCCGGATTTAAAAACCAATCAATAAAACGAGCAATGGCAAAGGGAGGGGAGGCTGGGAGGCCTTGGTTGGTTGTCGAGCGACAGGAGAGGTGAAAACCATGAGTTTCTTCTTTTTTTTTTGTTGTTTTTTTCTGTTTTGTTTTTGTTTTTTTTTCATTGTTGACACTTTAAACATACTGTTCCTTAGGACAGATGTAAGGAGCCCGGGAGCCGGGAGGTGGGCAGCAGAAGGAGATGTCGGAATGGTGAGGATAAAGATCTTGTGGGAGGTCTGACAAGGGGGCATAGACATGAGGGATCTTCTCCAGATATCGATCTTCATGTGAGTAACAGCGGGTCAGGTAATCACTCGCATTCGATATCTCTGAGTGACACTTTCCAAAGTTCTGCAAGTAGAGACAAAAGTCAGCGGGTGAAAACTCCGGGATCCACGGCCGGAAAACACACACAGCTCTTCAGCTCCTTGCTGAGACACACAGACAGCAAGCAGGATGGAATATTAACTACTTTACCGAGCTGGCTGCTTCAGGAAAATGGAAACCCAAATGATAAATCCTCATGCTGCAAAGTTTTTGTCTCGCTGCCTGAAATAGCCGGATCGTTGATGAATATGTATGGATCGGGCATGCTTTGTCCCTTGTCTGTAAATACTCTGCTCTCTGGCCTAAACAAGCAGCCAGCCAAAGGAAGGACAGTTTATTTCCACGCTTTCTAACTCTTTCCACACCTGAGTTTTGGAAAAGAAGGGCTTGAAGGCATCATTAATCTAAGCCAGGCCTGTGCTCTTCCATTTAAAGGGCACACGTGTCCTAGCGGGGGCTTGGGATGCAGAAAAAGCTTACTGTGCCTTTGTTTACCTGGGAGACAGGAGAGCTGGGCTTTGCCTGTGTGAACAGCTCCCCGGGAAGCCTCGGGGCTGGTTTTGTGAGTCAAATCATCTACAGACAACAAAAAACCACTTCCAAACCCGAGGCTGCTCTGTTGGCCCCGTGATTTTCCCTCTGTGCTGGGCTTGAGGGAGAATCTCCATCCCTCATCCCGGGGCTGTGGCTCCCCAGAGGGTGGCAGCAGATGGGAAGGATTCCTCCCTGCTCCCAGACATTTTCCTGCTTTGAGAAATCTGCAGGACAACCCAAGCAGGATGGACATTTGTTTTTAAAACCAACCTGAGCTCAGGGGCGCTCACCAGGAGATAATTTCTTCTCCAAGATAATTTATTTTCCAAACATTTTGATGCCTGTGGTTTGAAGCAAGTAACTTGCCCTTGAGTCCTTCCTTGTTCCCTTCCAAAATCCCAGGAACAGTCAGTTTAGTGGAAAGGACAAGGGTTTGGCCCTCAGGAGAAAACGCCTGAAGGAACAGAACAATCGACTCAGCTCATCTGCTGCCAGCTCCTGGATGAATATTTCACCAGGATGCTTTAAAAAAAAAAAAAATCCTATAGAAAACAAGGTGTTTACAATAATTTATTGATGGCTCAGACCGCTGGGAGAGGCACAAAGGCAATTTTGGGAACAGTCTGGCTGAGCCCAGTGAGGGAAAGTTTGCCTGAGCCTCAGGAAAACAGCAGCAGTGCTGAGGTCAACCTCATTTTCATTTCCCTTCCACTGGCAAAACTGTTTATCCTACAGACTGAGCTTTTAAAAACCAGTGGTGGAGATGCTGTGCTGGGATCCTAAATTTGGGTGGGCCATTCCCACAGTTTTTGTCCACTTTAGCCTTTTAATTGCCAAGTGAAAATGTGGATAAGTGCAGCATTAGAGCTCTTTAACCAGGGGCCATGAAAAAGCCTCACTAACTCAACCTTAAATAAATGTTTGCTGTTCTTCTGACCAGATGATAAAAGAAGTGAAAAGGGGCTCACAGACTGGAAAAATGGGATGTGTAAATTCCTCTCCCTGTACAATCTACTCTTAAGAATCATCACACTCAACAGAATCCCTTTCCACACCTGGAAGGGGGGAAAAAAATGTATTTAGCCATGCTCTCCTCCTGGTTTAATTTTCTGGGTTAAGCTAACCTGAAAGGGAAGTTGCCTTAATTACAGAAATCTAGTAAGACAAAGCAGACAAGGGGGTTTCTTGCAGTTTGTTATCAATTAAGTAGGAGGGGAGGTTTGTGTGTTTTTTGAGGAAAGCTGAGGATTTGCTAGTGCTGTGGGCAGGTCTGATGGATAGAAAGGTCTCCCAGGAGAGATACTCAGACAACTAAGTGGAAGGTGAGCGGGGTGTGATCAGGTGGCAGCAGAAAGGGCTGCGAGCCACTCTTTTACAGACTCCTGTGACAATAAATGGGGTCAGCAAAGCATTTTTCTTCCTGCTTATCTCCCAGTTAATGTGGCTGTGAGACAGGTGCCCATGAAGCACTGCCAAAGACACCCGGTGCAGTTTTGTCAGCACTGCTGTTTGCACAGGGGAGTGCAAACAAATCCTCCTTTTCTTGCTGGTCCCTCTTTTGTGCTCACTCCTCGTAGTCAGGGCAGGGCAGCTGGAGAACGTCAGGGCCAAAGAAAGAGAATTCCCTGTCTCCTTTTACCTCTCCTCAGCACCTGAGCTGGGAGCTGCTTTGCCCCTGCTTTGTTCCCTGAACTCATTTCCAGAGTGGCAAAAGGGAGGAGAACAAAACCAGCCCGGTGGTTTTTAACACATTTCGCAGCCGGTGCCCTTTGACTTCCTTCCCCAGTCCCACTGAGACTTTTCCCCAATCTAATTTATCTTTAACGAAGTTTGAAATTAAATTAGGGATAACGAACTAATTAAATTGAACTGGCACATGATTCTACCACCTTCCCCCACCTGACTTCTCCCACTTGCCTTTGTCTCCAGCATGACTCCATGCAATTCTTCATTATCTGGGTTACATCCTCCCCTCTCAGTTTTATTTCCAAGAGCTTGATTAAAGGGGATGTCAGCAATCTATCCATTTCAGACAGCCTGGCAGATTACCTTTAAACAGGCTTTATTTGATTGAATTAGGGAGCTTTCATTTCTGCCATGACTTCAACTCAACCCTTCTCCATCCCTCCACACCCAATTCCATCCTTTCTTCTATTTGCAGAACATCTCTTTGGGTAGCAGGAGATGTGAGGGCAGGTGACCATGTCCTGCACTTTTAATCATCTTGGAATAATGAGTTCCTACTGGTCTGAAAGTGAAAAACTCCTTCTCAGTGACCTCAGGATCTGTCTGCTATGTTTTTTGGGAAATCTGAAGATTTTACAGGTGAGAGTTGGATGGGTTATGGCTTTCTCTGCTTGGCCAAGCTCATGGCAAACACATTTTCACTCTTATGGAATGTGTTTGCCTGTGTTTTCCTGGCTGGAAAAAGCCCCTGCTGCTCAAAACTCCTGAATTTTTGGGCTGCTACTACCCTGACCCTCTTCATCTGTCAGTTTGGAATTTTGGGCTGCAGCACAGGCTGATGGCCAGGAAGGAGCAGCTGTGCTGAGTGACAGCATCACAAAGCTGCTGTCACACTGTGGACCAGCAAGGGCAGAGGGTGTTGGGTGTTTGGGGACAGAAAATACACTGGGAACCAAAAAAAGAATTATTTCCCCTGGTTTTGGGAGCCTCACATCCTCTCCTCCCCTGGGTCTGAACTCCCTACTCGGGGTATTCGGGGTATTTTTCCACTTCCAAGTTTGGCCATGATTTTAGGGATCTCTGAGCAGGTTCCTGCTCTGTTTGGTGCTTTAACTGTGAGGGAGTTCTTGGATAATCCCTGTCCTGAGTAAAGAACAAGCATTGAAGTGTCAGGAATGAGCAGGAACCAATGGTCCTGAGCTTGGGCTTCTGTGAGGACAAAGCTGAGGGCAAGTGGGCCAGAGGGACTCACCCCTGGGTTCAGGAAATAATAAAAAAAAAGATTGAGCTGAAATTCCCAGAATACAGAGCAAGGAGCTGTGGTGAGGGATGCATTCAGACACATGCAAGTAGTAATGATGCAGAACACTTGCTCAGAATGTTGCATTCCTTCTCACAGCATGCTTTTCTCTTCCCCTGCTGCCTCTGGTACCTACCTGCTCCATGTTCCTACAGCACCCAACCCCATCAATCATCCCAAACATTTCCCTCCTGGCTGTTTCTCTCCCAAATCCTCCTCTCCACCCTTTTGGAGCCGAGGCAGGGCTGATATCCGTGTTTAAAAATGGGAAACTAATAAGGAGACACCTCTTGGCTTTATTTCCCCTGCAATTTGGAAATGGGAATCTGAACCCTGGTCACTGATTTGTTGTATTCTTGATTCCAAGTCTGACAGTTTCCAGCTATTCCTGCTGCAGCAGGGACAGAAATTCCCAAGAAAAACGGAGAGCTGGAGTGTGGGGAGGTGAAGGGGGAGGAAATAATTAAAAAAGCATAAAAAAATTAAATTGCCCTGATCTGTGGTGTGTCTTAGCAGGGAGATTACACCTTCAAAGCACCATATGACTGGCTTTATTTTTACTTCAGAGAGCCTGGGAGGATTTCCAAATTTGGATTTGGAGGATTACTGTCCTTTTGCTGACAATAAAATTCCCCACCCTGGGGAGGACGAGGCAAAGACCTCCCAAGATGGATTTGGGAGCTCTTGCCTTGTTTGGAGCAGTGGGAGCAGCCCAAGAATCTTTTGGGAGCGGGAGGTGAAGACACGAGGGAGAGCGGCTGGTTTCAACCACCCCTTCCTCAGGGCTGGAATTCTCATCCCAGAGAGGAGGCAGGAGGCTGGAAGTGCCCGGGAGCTCGGTGACAAACAGATCCCCACAGGGAAACAGGGAAAAGGGAAAACCAAACCCATCCAGAACTTACTGTCCACTCTCGCTCGTTACGTCTACGAAGACCTTGATCCTCATTCTGGGAGCAGGAGTGGGTGAGACACCGCAAGAGAGAGAGGTTACGGATCTGCTCCGGCCCGGGCTGCTGCACACACTCACCCACCAGGGCTTTTGCTACACCAGGGGAGCTACAGGGCTGCTTCCAGCACGGGAAAACCAGGGAGCAGGGGGGAGAGCAAACTGCAGCAGCCCCTGCCCACCTGGCACCCAGGGGTGTGTGCTGCACCCTCACCCACGGAGTTCCTCATCTCAGGGAGACACTAAACAGGATTGTCCGGGGGGGTTTCATCAAAAGGTCATTTTCCTGCTGCTCATCCTCCTTTCCTTTCCTTTCCTTTCCTTTCCTTTCCTTTCCTTTCCTTTCCTTTCCTTTCCTTTCCTTTCCTTTCCTTTCCTTTCCTTTCCTTTCCTT